TTTAGATATATGAATCTAAATACTTTTGTATAAAATTTCAAAACAAATTTATTAAAATTAAAATTAGGCTTAAATATTTTTACAAAAAATCATATTTTAAATGCAGTTAAAGGTATCTCATATCTATCATAATATATGTGCTTGACCATATACCCTGTTCCCTTAAATATATGTGCATTTGATATATGCAATATTCTCGATGTACCTTATATATATTTATAAAACTAATCAAACTTACATCATTTGAGGTTACGACTCCAGCTAGAGTAAATGAGAACAACACTTGCGTTGCAATCGAGTCAAGTTGTGCATACAGAGCTCAAATTGTGTTTGCCATGGAGATGACTGGAGATTATTGTTCGACAAATGCAATGAGTACCGTAATGTACTGTACTGACAAAGCAACTTAATTACTGTCAATTGTGTGGATTGATTGACATCAGCTTTCAGGCACTCAATCGATTCTTCCCCTTCCAGGCAAATCCTGGCAAGCGAAGAACAAAAGGAATTAAAGTTTGTGCGCGAAACCAAGAGATGTACAAATGTATATGTATACAGACATAGAGAGAGGGAGAGGGCGAGAGAGGTATATAATAGATGGGGAATGCAGGAAAATAATCCAATGAAATTCAGTTAAAATCACTCAAGAGCATGAATGGCAGCATTTTATCTTGTCGCGTTGCTTTTGTTCTCTGGCTGCGGAAAAGGAAGCGCGTTGATAATAATAATAATAATAATAATAATAATAATAATGCCAACACTTGGCTTTTGTTTTAGTCACCGCAGAGTAACAATAAGTGAGCGAGAGAGTGTATGTGTGTGTGTGTGAGAGAGAGAGGGGAAACATGACACTTAAATAGCATAAATGCGCCACTAAACAAAACCAAAATCAACGAAAATGGAATGGGGAAGGGGCAACAGGAAGGGAAATGGAGTGTGGGAAATGGAGAGTGGCAAGGGGAAGGGAAAGTGGAGGAGGGCAACCGGGAAGTGAGTGGGGTGAACTGGTACGCAGACAGCGCCAGCAGCGCACAGCTGTCATAATG